AAAGACACTGAAACCCAGAAGTATGCGTTCCGTTCGCTCCAAATTCCACATACAGTGGATTGTTTGCAGGGAATCCTATCCGTGATTCCCCTCCAACTGCTCTCATACCACATCGCAGTCCTCAGGGGCTGTAACGTCGACTGTCCTCGAAATTTGGCCAAATCTGTTACCGTTGAATAACCGGTTCATTCCAAACACTGTTTCAATTGGGAAATACATTCAAAAACTTACAAATTTCTTCCTTTTTTTTCTTTCACTATATTTCTATGTTTTAAGTATTATTTTTTGGACCTTTTATATTAAATCATTATATTTTTATTATAAATTATTAATTTTAAAATTATTTTAAGAATATTAATATTTTGTTACAAAATAATAAAAGCATTTTAAGGGTTTTAACCAAATTGTCAATAACTATCACATATTTTTGGTAATATAGCAGACATTTGTGATCATCAAAGGCCTTACGACTCAAAAGTGTGACTCAAATACCGGGTATTTATTTAAGATATTTAGCAATTATCTCCTCATCAAACCATTTCATGTCAATCTGGAGGTGATCTCCAATCACTTCATATTCATGTAGTCTTCCACTTGTGTCCAGTTCTTTGAGTCCAATCCAGTCCTCCGTATAGAGTGGTGTGTCTCTCATTTTGCGAATCTCTTGCGCCTGACCTGCGATATAGAAGCCAAACAGTGATGACTCTCTCGGCTCAACCATCGAGTCGTTCAGATATTTCACTAAAACAAAGTTCTTGAGCTTCACAAGTCTTTCCTTGTATTCGCCTTTTCGGGGATTCCTCTCATTGTTAATGTCCGCAAGAAATACACTCTTTTGGGTATAGAGTACCTCTTGGAGGGGGTCGTGCCAGTACTACCGGTGCCAATACAGTGGTCATTATATGCACACAAATGTAGGCAACTGTACTGTACCTCTGCCTGAACCACATGATCCTGAATGTATTGCTCATAAGCGCCATAATTGAGCAGTTTTCGCACCAAATCGCA